ACCAACTGCAGACCTCTACCCCGCAGTGGTATCGTGTAGACGGTAGCACCATTGACCCGAAATAATACATTAGCACGGTACTGCTTGCATTCATCCGGCGCAAAGGTGACCAAGGCTGTTGCGGGACCAGGGTTATCGACTGCCTCCAGAACACAGGGCTCAAAGGCACAGTGAAAGGCAGAATCTGACGTTTGTATGTATTCAAGACTAATTGATTCGGTTTCCCCAGTATTACGTAGGAAGATGGGTAATGTAAGATGCTCGAAGCCCGTCGAGGTGACAAATTGATTGCCAAAGTCTAGCGAGTCCGGTAAGATTTCAATGGGCGGTGGCAGCGAACTACCCATGAGGTGGAAACCAAATGATGGCCCGTCTTTCACAGTAACTAGAGCAAACAAATTATTGTCGAGGAATATGTGCCTGGGTGGACAGAAAGGATCCTTCTGGCCGTCCTGAGGGCGGAAGTGTGCGCTGAGAGTTATTCGTCCGCCTGCGGCTATCAGACCATTCGAGGGCTCGATAAAGACCATTTGAGTGAGGTTATTTGTCAACTTATTCAACTGCCGAGTTTTAGCCCGGGTCTTCTGGATAGGTCGGCGTAGCGAATGAATTAGGGCGGCAAATTCGACCTCAAAGGTCCCATGGTTGATCAGAGTGATTTGGCGTACGTGTTCACTGCCGCAAGCAACTTCTCCGAATTGCAGATCGATTAGACGGAGTCGGAGAGCTGGAAAGCTTTCGAATTTGCGAACTACAGCCAACGTAGCTTTGGCGGCAGTCGCTCCAAGGGAGGGCTGGAGGAGATGGTCAATTTCACGACGTTGGCTGTCGTAGTCGTCACCCAGCCAAGCAGAGACCTGCACGGTGAAAGCCTCTGCCTTCACATTAAGTCGCATCGGTCGTTTGCCCTTGATACAACAGATGAGATTAAAATTGAAACGCCTGGGTTGTCCGGGACAGAAACTGATTGTAAGTGGAAGCCTGGGAAGGAAAATCATGCTTAAATTAATGAGTATTTATTCGGAGAGTGCGCACAAAGTAAATCAATAGAGCACTAATTAACTACCTAATTCGCCCGAAGTACTTCGTAAGAACTTTCCAAACATGGGCTTTTCGTCCATGCCCAAAAGCACTTGCTAAACTCCGAAACTATCCGTTACCAGCTGACGTTTATTGAAAACTAATTAACAAGGAAGGGACCCAGTATATTACGACCGCTGCTAGGTGGTTACTGTGGACATGGGGCAATGGCCGTTCAATAAATATTCGCTTGAGACATGCGCAGATATTTGCTTACAGAACCTCATTTTTGAAGAAGCTTGACTTAGGGCAGTGCGATGATATTAAAATTGGTTTGAGTTTTTTTCTATTACTTGGAAGAAAGACTGATAAGATTGTTGGTAAGGCTAACTGGCATGGAAATAGAAACGCCTTATCTACTTAAAATAGGTGACCTTGCGATAAACGTTAGGAAGGATAAATGATCCTTAACAGTAAACCTAGCATTAAACCAAGCTTTAACCGTAATCTTAACCCTAGTCCTACACTAAAATTAACCATAACAGTTGACACGAACCTGACCTTAATTCCAACGTTAAACCTAACCCCAAACGTAATTCTAACCTTTACCTTCATCTTAAAACCTAATTCCCCGACATTTGTTGTGAATCCACATGCATTGTGAGCGGATCCTCTTCCTGTGTCCTGTTTCAGCGGCCATACAATTCATCCTTGCCAAGTTGTCTTAATTTATTTTCGACAAGTCTGCTGAATACAGAGTTTTTATGGGAAATCATGAAAGTCCCAAAACTGAACACTTTGCGGCACATGATGTTTCAAAAGAATCGATAAATGTCATAAGCATAGGTCATATATTATTTCTCAGGAAAAATGTGGGTAAAGAGTAGCCCTTCGGGCGCCAACATGCGTTCCACCACTGCACTCACACCAGGCTAGGAACCACGTGATCGTGACTTTCGATTACATGAAACATGCACGCAGTCAGCCCCGGAAACAGTCAAGCAAGAGCGCCAATCATATGAGACGCACGTTTTGACATTCGCGCCCGCCCCACGCTTGTGGAGACGTTTAGGGCCATGCTGGTGCCGCCTACTGGTTCCCTACTGGGTCCCAGCGATTGTGATGGTTAGAACACAACCAATATTCTGTCCGCCTAAAACTTAGGATATCAGTTCCCCTTACAATGCCTTTTGGTTCACCAATATTTGGAGTTTAGTACAAAATTGGGGTTCCATCAAATACAAAAATAAAACAGTACGAATGCACGAGGCTAAAAATTTATTGTTAGCTTTGTCTGTTTCTTTATGCGGTACTTTACCAGAGGGGAATACAAGGACGTCAAGCTACGCTCACATGCAGCAGGCGACTTTCATTGGCTGCAGTTAGTGGACACAGAGATCTAGCCCTATACGCGCACCGTCAAAAGATTCATCTTCATGAGTAAAGCAGACGACGGTTCGAGCACCGGAACACTTTGTTTATTATCCTGAGCTATCTAGGTCAGGCGGGAGTTAAAAATCAGATATAGCAGTAAGAGGATGACAATTATAGGGGATGCAAGGCAATCAATTATCAAGGACGCAAGTCTGGAGGTGACCAGACAGGGTTCTGGACACCGGCGTCAAATAAATAAGTCGATTGATTGAGTTAGCATCTGCGGCCCAGGTTTCAATCAATTGTCGTTTTGTCTTGTTTTTAATGTGGAAAAGTATCTTGATGACTGCGAAGTTTAACTCATGGCCCGTTTCGTGCATGTGGGCAACAACTTGCAATAATGCATCGCCCCCTAGCACACGTAGTTCAATTTAGCAGCTCTCAAGATAATTGCCCACGCCAGAAACAAGACGAGTCAAACATTGATTGAAGCCTTCTGTTCAATTACCTGGGCCTCGCATATTTTCGACTATTCAGAATAAGCAAACTGTTCCCGTGCAAAACCAGTCTTATCCTTTCCGCATGCAAATACCTGAAACTCGAACCTACTCATCCATTCTTTTGTTTTCCCAAACGGACCCTACAGCCAACATAGAAGACTTCGTAGAAACTATGTGAAAAGGTTTCATTCATAGTACACAAAAACCGCACACACCTTTCGCCTGGTTGAAGCTGACCTCGGCGGGGGCATACCGTGAGTTGATTGATCAGGTCATCACACAGACAACTTTTGTCTGAAATTGCAAAATCGTATGTGGCGTCCGATTCACGATTCACCAGACAGACTTCGGTGCACGATACAGTGTGCCCCACCAGTGTAGTTGGCAGAGTAAAATTGGTTCGGTCGAAGGTTACCATTGGTTCCCGGGTACGACCCACTATAAGGAGTGGAAAAGTCGCATCGAGTTCTGGTATCCGAGCTTCCCAGTTTGACTGAACGGTCTCCTGAAGTTGTCCAGTGAAAGTGACCTCAACCTGGAAAATGAGGTAGGTCAATTCATAAAAAAAAGGAATTATTTTGAAGAAATCCGGAATCACGGAATTGACCTTCCTTTCTTCACAAGAGTTAAAAATTTTGGTTATATTTTCAGCAGGGTTTCTGTTAGGAAAGCCTTCTTTTATATCGTCAGAAGTAAAAGTGCTTAAGCGGACGGTTGCAGAATATACTGCGAAGGGAAAGAAACAAAGTACACAGGAAAATTTAGTTCTCTCAGTCAAGCTAATAGTAGGGGTCAGTGAGGGAGGTAATCTCATGTCCTCCCGTCCTTCCACCCATCTACTTACTAAGTACTTTCGTACTCTGCCTAGTCCCACTCAAGCTTGAATACTTCTTATTGTAATTAAAATCGGGTCGGCTAGACTAACCGTCCCCCATCTCCGCACCAGGCCGACTCACGTATCTGGTCAACATCCAACCTGCTTTCCTTATACTGTATTCTCACTGGACTGTTCGCAGTTGCACTAGGGATCAAGAAAT